CTGGTTTACAACAACCTTGTTTGTTTTTGTAAAAAAACATTGTGAAAGCTCATGTACATGCACATGAGACTTAAAACCTACCTCCCATGATATTACAGGTGTGCACACACTTCCACTCATAATTGTCAGGACGGACGTCAGTATGTGTCCACATACACGCAAGTTGGTAACACATCCCCGTCAATAAACAAGCTGCATGCACATGCTTGTAAAATCCAAATGGCGAAAGCAAAAATAAAAAACAGCTTATTTGTTTGTTGTAATGTTGGAGAGAAAATACTGGCAGATGTTCTCATTTACAGTAAGTGATTCTCGAAGCAGGTGTCCAATGTTGGTATTTGTTGCTCTGGTACATACATGCGTGGTCGGGGTGCTTTAGTTGTCCTTGTACAAATTAAAAGGGCTCTAAAAATCAATAATAGTCAAACATTTAGAATTTGATGTATTATACATTTCAACAAATCGACCAGTAAGTAATATTCATTGACAAATACATTCAGACGTCCAGCGTGTGCAAGTTTCCTCGAAGGCATTTATGTGGCACTTCAAAAAAGCTTTGCTAACTTTCAGTCAATCAGTGTTGAGGAGCCAGCATTGATGGCTTAGGATGTTAAGATGTGGATCTCCCAGTGGATGTGGGTTATAAGAATTGGCCCCTTTGAAATGAATTGAAAGTCCTGCTGCTCTAACTTTTGAAAGTATAGTGGAAGTTAGTCGTACATCCATCCCTCATATCATCAATAATTAATGTATAGTTTTATATATATAGAGAGAGAGAGAGAGAGAGAGAGAGAGAGAGTTTGTTCAAATAAATACAGCAAAACAACATTTTGGTGTTATCTGGGTCTAGGCTTTAAGTGGTCCATTTTTAGTTATTAGAAACCTTGGTGTTAACAATCTTCATTTGTTACAGACAGGGTGTCTATGGATGCTACGGGTCTTTAAAAAAAAAAAACGTATATAAGAGTGTACTGAAGACTGTTTGGTAATAGTTTCATGAAAAACTTGCCAGTTTCCGATGAGTTTTGTTTGCTACAAACTCACAGCCGACTTCTCTGTCTTGGAGAACTGAAATGCCAAAATAAAAATAGGCATCACAAATAGGGAAACTAATGAATTGAGTTTCTAAACACTTCACTGCCATATAGTGAAGAAATACGGACTTGAGTCACACTGTTATAGACAGTCGGGTTTATGTGGAATATTTGGTTTATAAGGATAGTTGTGAAAACTGATAAACCGACAAAAAGATAGCCATTGGGGTTTTTAACGCACGGACAAAGCTCATGAATTGAACTGCTGTATATTTAATTTTATTCTGTTAAAGTTTTGTGGTCTGGGGGGTGTGGTGCTCAGAAAATTTTGTCTAAACCTTTTCAGATTTTTTTTTTTTTATTGTTCAGTCTAACCTACGTCAACAAGTGAATATTTACTTATTCATTTGTTTTATCTTGATGTAGTTCCATGTGAAAATGTTTCATTTAAATACCAAATAAAAATTTCCAAACGGAACTCTTGGAATAAAATCATTCATGCTTTTGTAGCAAGAGAATATTATGGGTTTCTTTTTTTTTTATATGCTATTTTAAATATAGCAGTTTAGGCGGGGTTCACTGCATTTAGTGGCTTGCCCACATTCTCTGCTCCACCAAGTCCTGTGTCTTTTTCTTCCTTTTCTTTACTTGAAAACGGAATCACTGCTACCTGTTTTTTTTTCTTCAAAACTGTAAGTTATATCTGTTGTCTGTGTTAGGTTTCTATTTACTGAATAGTATGCATTATGGTCATTGTATCAAATACAGGTTGGCTTCTTGTAAGAAAGAAGAACAGTAATATTCATTGCCTATTGAACAAAAGCAAAATTAACATTTTCCTTTGAGTAGAATTCCAACTGTTTCTTTCAAATTTCGAACACTGAAGACAAAATGTACCTTGATTTTTTTTCTTTCTTTCTTTTCCCCTTTTTTCTTGTGAGCAGTCAGTTTCCATTTTACACTAGTTTGCGCTTTTGTCATAAAAGAAATACTTTTTTGACTCCTTTCATGAGAAATTCGAAAAGAGGCTTTTTGCCAAACTAAGAGCCCTCTGCGCATGTTAAAGATAACACTACTGGTAAGTTTTTAGACCCTAGTTTAATCAGTGGCTCCGATAAACGTTAACAAATAAAACACAATCACTACTCGTATTTGCATTCTAAGCTTTTCTGAATTGAGAGTGAGTTGAGAATGTGTGTTTTATTTATGCCCTGTGATTGGCGAACAGATCTGGATGTATCTTGCCTCTTGTTCAAAGTCAGCTGGGATAGGTCCCAGCCCACCTGCGACCTTAGTGAGGATAAGAGAAGAGAATAGAAGCTGACCATATAAATTTTATAGTGCCACGTCATGCTTTTTTTGAACATCTATGATTATATATTATTGTGCAATTTTGCTGCCTGTGCTATCTAGTATGTATCTAAGAAGATGAGTAACTATTGCAACTTCTCATAGCAGCTCTTGAACAATGTAAGGGTTCATTTGAGCAAGGCACCAAACCCTGAAACAGTTAATTTGACCTCTGAAAGCCAACTAACAAGTCACACTACACGGGAGAAGACAAAAATAGACTCCAGCACACATGAACAGCACACAGTTTGTCAAAGACTGAGCAATAAAAGGGAACTTTAATAACGTCAGACAATTTACACTGGTGGGACATTTCAGAGCAGGCAGGGAGCTGCTAGAGGAGCACTGCGGGAATATGGCCAGGCTGAATAGGAAATTAAACACCTACATCACTAAATTGAAACCAAAAACAAACAATAACGTTGTGATAATACACTCAATGGGGTAAAATATCATACTGGTATTAAGGATGGCAAGATTAGTCGACGAGTCACGCCGACTCGAGTCGTTTTCGTTATGTGTTCGTATAATCTATTTGGCGCTTTGTTTTTTCTCTTGACATTGCCTCGTCTCACGCTTCTCCTGCTGGTCGTCTGCCTCGTCTGTGACTCACATGCTCAGTCGCGGTCATCCGTGATGTTAACAGAAGCATTGCGGGTCCTGTACTTGAATGGCTAACGAGATTTAGAGTCTGAAAGTTAGGGTGTATTTCACCCAAAATACTGGATAGGATGCAAACCTTCCTTTCATGGCAGCATGGCGGTGATGCTCGATTATCTGAAAAGGAAGCACGTTGTGGCTGGTACCTGATTTCATTTCTGACATAAGATAAGACAAGAAAAGATAAGAAAACCTTCATTTGTCTCTCAAGGGAGAAATTCCCAATTTACAGCAGCAAAATTATGAAAGGGAGAAGTAGAAGAACAAAGAGTATATAAATAAATATAAATCATCAAATATAAATCTAAGCATATTAAAAATGGGTGACTGGGGGTTAGTCCAGGTTTTCAGGTCTGTCTATAGCCTGACAGCAGTCGGCAGGAACGAGCGGCAGTACCTCTCCTTCCTGCAGCACGGATGTGACAGCCTCTGGCTGAAGGAGCTGCCCAGTGCTGTCAGGGTGGCCTGGAGGGGGTGGGAGCGTCTGTCCATCATAGCTGTTAGCTTAGCTAGCACCTCCTGTTGCCCACCTCCTTCAGAATCTCCAGGGAGCAGCCCGGGACAGAGCTGGCCCTCCTGACCAGTCGGTCCAGTCTCTCTCTGTCCCGGGCTGAGATGCTGCTTGACCAGCAGACTATGCCATACTGAATGGCTGAGGCCACCACAGAGTCAGAGAAGGTCTTAAGGAGTGACCCCTGCACTCCAAAAGACCTCAGTTTTCTGAGCAGGAAGAGCTGGCTCTGCCCCTTCCTGATCAGAGTGTCTGTGTTGTTCGACCAGTCTAGTTTATTGTTGAGAAGAACACCCTTGTCACACCCTACTTGTCGGAGGTCACCCTCTGTATGTCCGTACCCTGGATGTTCATCGGTGCAGGTGAGGCAGTTGGGCTTGTGCTTCACTCAGGATCTTTGTCATTCTTGGTGGCTGGCAGGCAACTGCTGTGATCATTTTTTTTCTCTGCATGTATGCTACTTTGTAAAGATTTTAAAATCTCATGCACCCCCAGTGGTACGCACCCGCTCATTTGATAACCACGGCGATAAGATATTGTAGCGTCTACTCTGGATTACGACGGCAGGAGTCCATGAACTAAAATTTCTTTACAACTGAAACACAGTTTTTGTATGCCCGTGGTTGACATGGTAAAAGAAAGACCTCCCTCGCTGTCGCTTGCAAAGAGTGAATCAGTGCACTCATTGGAACAGAATTTGATTTATTTGTCAGAAGCCTTCAACATATAACCTAGTTCATTATAATATACTAATTTACAGTGCTCAAAAACTATGTTCAACCTAATATCATTTCAGGTGCATACCATAACACCTTTTGTGAAGGTCATTTTGCAATTCATTTATGTATACTAGTGATGGAAAACAAAACCTTTTGGATCAAGGTTAACTAACAACAAAATAAAAAACAAAAACAAGACAACAGTTTTCTTTAGCACAGTGAATTTTCATCCAATTTTTATTCACCTGATTTCACCACTTTCTACATTAAAAGAAGAGTGTAATACAGTGTGTTTACAAGCATTTCTATATTCATAGTATGAGTGCAACACTGCATCGGGTTTAGTTTTTGGTTCCATTTTAAAACACTAAATATTTCCAGCCAAAAATTGTAAGGCCACAGCATTGTTTTCAATTTAAGTTGCTCCATCATTTATAAACATGTCGGCACTGTACTATCATCTTATTTGTCTTCATTATTAATACTGCAACTTAAAAAAATCAAGATGACTACGAATGATGGTTATAAGAGCAGTGCTTGCTTGTACGATAAACTGCGATTTACTTCTGATCTGACTAGGTGACTAATCGCGACTGCTGTTGGTAATTCGTCAACGAGCAGAATAAACACTTTTGGCAGCCCTAACTGAAACAAAAGTGTAGTACCAGAATCCTTAGATGTTGCGTCTCTTTTTTTAATGGTGCCCTTCTCTTCTTTTCTTGACAGGTGTATCTCATCAATGTCACCTACTCAGACAATACCTCCCACATCATTTACAGAAGATACAGCAAGTTCTTTGACCTTCAGGTAATCCTTTCTTACAAAGTACATAATATACCAAATTGAAGTTATGATTTTAATTGACTAGCCTAATTCTATCACCACTTAACTATTTTGATCGTGTGTACATTTGTCTCTATCTTAACTGCTCTCCGACTGTATTTCTGTTACTGGTGTTCTCCACTGTGTTGCTCTAATAAATCAACGTGGAATTGGTCAGGGTAAGGGAGACATTGTTTGTATGCCTTACCCGAGGGTCCCCAACCACTCGGCCGCACAAGAGTGACTGGAGAAGAGAAAACATTTAATTGGTCATCAGTCTGAAAAAAGTTGTATTTTAAAATTGAGATGCATGGGCAATGCCTTTTGTCAAAAAGCTCTTGTGATAAATAGATAGATATGTGTCTATGCAGCGTCCTCGTGATTCACCCCTCGGGCCATGAGGTGTTCCGATAATTTTACATAAATATGAATCACTCAGAAAAAGTGTTCACCAGTCAGGCGATCGCTCACTTTGCTGATGTTTGCCTTGGACATTTTCGAAGGATTGTTAAAAGCTGAAGCAAACGTCCTTGGATCAGTTATTGACAAAACACCAGGCAAAAATCACTTCTGAGAGAGAACATGAACTAAAGAGGGCAAAAAACGATGACAACGCAGTTACAAGTTAAATGACCATCATTTTAATTCTTTACTCTATTCTTAGCTTTTTACATTATGCACAACTCCCATTTATTGTGCAATAATCTAATTGTAACATGTATTTGTTACATATCTTGATGCATTTTTATGCTTTAGGAAACATTTATGTCTGAATTTTGAGGGGGGACGAGGGTCTTGGAACAAATTAGGGCATTTACATGGAAAATGCGTCTCTACTTACAAAACTTTCTAGTTAAGAATTTTTTTCCAGAACCAATTAATTTCGTAAGTAGAGGTACCACTGTATTCTTTTTTTCCCCCATTGTCATACTTGCATGGCATGCTCTGAATGACAAGGGCCTTTAACATATTTTTTTGAAATGACGGTCATGGTTGGTTTGTCTCAGTCATGTTTGAAACGTCTTGAGCAGGAGCGCCAGCACACTGGCCTTTGTTTCCTACACTGACTATTTCATACAGAGTGAATGATTGTGTGCACGCATTTGTGTCGCCTGGTCCATTGGAAGCTGATGCCAGATGTATACAGCACTGGAGGTCTCTGGGTCACTCGTAAATATGCAAGCACTTTCCAGAGAAAGTTATGGGGGCACATCTCAGTCGCTCCTGTGTGCAACCCCAGCAGGAAATGATGTTTCAATCAGTGGAGGGAAGGTTCTTGTTGAAAGGTCCCATTGATGAGTGGGGCAATGTGACTCCCCTCTGCAAAAGAATAATCACAATGTGGGCTCACATTCACTAGCAAAACAAGGCAGAGGCAATAAAGGTCACACTCCAAACGCATGTGGATATTGACAATATTGTCACAGTTTTGCCGTGTAGCACCAAATTATTTAGGGTGCATTATATAAGAATGAAATACTTTTTTTCACCTTGTTATGTATGCAATGATGCCACATTATTTATTAATACGGATTGTAAAAGTATATTTTTAAAAATTGTTGAATGTTTTATTGATGTTAGAACAATTAATAACTTTAGTAGACTCGTGCATGAGCTGCATTGAGGCACAAGGGGTTGAGCCAAAGCATTTTAGAGTTATGGTCTCGATACGTAGGGCAGTGAACCCCGTGTTACAATGAATGATGCTGTTTCATGTTCACATTAATGAATAGTTTCATATTTACACATGCAGTACTCAAATTACCATTGGCGCAGTGCCACATAGCCAGCAGTGGCAAGATCGATCTTGTGAGCATCTTCTGATGGTTGAGAACAAAGGTCTCTAAACTTGGTTGGCATTTTAGTAACTATCAAACAAAGTGGCTTTCTAACGTTTTGAGGTTGGCTGCGCTGCATTGCATGTGTAAAGTCTTCGATTTATATTACGGTAGTGGTGCAACACACAATTATTTTCGTCATAGATTCATCCTTTTTTTTTTCCATCAAAGTTACAAAAAAGCCAATCAGTCTGTTTTCATCTCGGACTACTGCAATCTGAAAATAATTTCTGTTGAAAGGGTGAAATTCCAATGATCTGGAAAATTGAAAGTAAAACTTGGGTTTCAAAACGTGAATCGATTATCAAAATAATTATCAATTAATTTGCTTAAGCTGTCCAAAAACTACCACGTTCAATTGATGCAAGACTTGGGAAAATGCAATCAAGTAAAAGATCCTATATTAAAATGTAATTTGAGCTGTTCAAATGTTTTTGATTGAAATCGCTTTTGATTTCCGCAAATACAACCTCCCAATGCTGCCCAAAAGACTATTTTCAGTTCTTCACGACCTATAAAATGTCTTGCAACACTGCTGTGCATAATAGTTTGGAACAGTGCACCTTAACAAGCACTGTTCCAAACTATTATGCTGTGTGATAGTGATAATTTTACAGTTTACCCCCAGCGAGTCCCAGGGACTCGCTGATCAAAAAAGTATGAGTCCCATTATGCATTTAAAGAGTCCCAAATTTTGAACTCTGTTGCAAAAATGTAAATAATTCAGTAGCAGGCCTGAGGATTTCGGAAATTCACGGGAACCGTTTTTCGGTTCCGTCGGATTATCCAATGGGAAACCACGATAACTAATTTTGGGTTCCGTAAACGTTCATCATGGGAACTCATTTTTCTATTTTGACTGAACTTCATAATCAAGAATTCTGATACTCAAAAGTATAGTGTTTCAAGGGTAAATGTTTGAAAACTATGCATTAACAATGATCATTACATCAGCAGCTGTGTACTCCAGGTTTATTAAAATAAAAAAAAAAAATAGATCAAAAACTGGTGTACTCATATGGCATCATGAATACAGCATTCCACAAAAGAGTATTTTTTTCCAGTCTCACACTGCAAAGATTAATTTACTGTTAATCATTAATACAGGTAAGTATTGATGTGGCTTGACATCCTCTTCCCAAGACGATGCATGTGTAATCTACTATCAATTTGACGAAAGAATTAACCACGTCATCATTAGTTCTACTGTACCAACAGTTAACATTCGCATTACTACACCTTGTGACGAATGTTTTATTCCTAAAGTTACCATGCTACAACCAGTAAATTATAGAATAACCAATACTGTTTCATAATATTTTTCATAGCGATTAGCCTATAGATCTAATGACCAATTTACCTCGTAATCGTGCCTACATCCCAGGTGAGTTTAGTGATACGCCCTTTGGACGATTTATATGAAAAATCAGACTGGCATTCCCATTTCTTAAATGTCGTAATTAGTAGACATTTTGTGAGTTTTTTTCGCCGCCATCTCAAACTTTCATCCGCGCGATTCCTCACTTTGCGGACTAAAATAGCAACCCGCATGCGCACATAACGTTATCTGTCCGCCCACCCACAACACTGAAAACAAAACAAAACGAAACGAAAGTAAATTAGAAGAAACACACTCACACACCACACCACAAACACACATACAGGCACAGTGAAATCGCGTTGATCACACAGGAGAGATTTGATCGCGTACAGTCAAGTCGTGTGCGGTGACTTTTATGGTTAAACGATTTTTCGGTACCGTCAAAATGACGCCATGGAAACGACACGCTGCCGGTAACGATCGTTACCTTGAAATCCTCAGGCCTGCCTTAGTTTTTTTTTTTTTTCGTTTTGACTGAGAAATTTCCTTGCGTCCCAAAAACGCACATTATTTGGAACTGTGCGTCCCGCGGGAAAATTATGTGTCAAGAACGCGGGACGCAGAGGTAACGGGATGGCTGTGTGTGTCATTTGCATTTTTGCCACGTGTAACACACATTGAAGCGCTCCGGAAGTAGCCTTCTTCAGAGAAGTTGGACTCTCTTCCACTCTGGAGCTGCCCTCAGTTAGCGGCGCAAAGCTGGCGTGGGCATACTTATTGCCCCCGGCTCGATGTCTGCACGTTCACTTGGTGGATGAAAAGGTAGCCTTCCTCTGCCTTCAGGTGAGGGGATGATGCAAAAAATGTCCTCTTTGTTTAAGTCTGTCAACACCTTGTTGCTGTGATTTCTAGCTCAGTCTGTGAGGACTTATATAGGACAAGGGTTCAAGTCCCATTATGGACAATAATATAATATGGGAACTAATTGTTGATGAGATGCTAGTCTGATTGCTAGATGCTGTTGAAGTATCCCGGGGAAGGGCATCGTCCCCACCACCTCAGGCTCAGTGTTGCAGCACTCTTTGCCCGCCTCTTTCACTCGGAATCTCTCCCTGTACGCCCGCACGTGTGTGATCTTGTTACGATGTGGTGTGCGTCACAAAGTGTCCAACAGCGTGGGAGTTGAATTTCCCCTTGAGGGACATGAATAAGTATAGTCAATTCCAAAATGCAAATTCAAAAACTAAATTCAATAGACTATTGCTTGTGTTGATTATTTATGTTATCGGTATATTAGTTTATTTATGCTGTAGAACCTATGATTACACCCTTTGTATATACTGGCACTTGTTTATTTTGTACATGCAATGCCATCAATTTTCTCCCTTTCTGATTTTAGATGAGTCGCACTTAAATTTTTCACATCATCAAACCGATTTCTATATTTTTCAGACAGCCCTTGTAAATATAAAATGTTTTCATTTCAGGGCTAAAAAAAAGTTTCTGGCACAACCAAATCACACTGAGTCTTTCCAGTTCAGTCATTTTGTTTCTCAATTGTTCATGAATGTCTTTAGATCATGGCAGGATACATTTTTGATTTTGAGATATGATAGCCTACTGCACTTTGTCAGACATGAAATGTTTTAGTGATATTTATATATATTTTTCAACAAATCTGAGGCCCGGGTGTGGCCAGTAAAATTGAACTCAATTTACAATTAATTTATGATTTAGCAAGGGTGAGGGCATATGATGTGGATTTTTTTCTTCCTATAAACGATAAAATAATTTAGAAACTTCCATCCATCCATAATCTGAACCGC